CTTATTATCTTACGACTTATTATTATGAGTTATCTGTATTGCTGATTATACATGCTGCTGATGTTCGACTTGTCTGTGTTGCTGATTATCTGTGCTGCTGATCTCTTGCTTTTATGCTGCTGTATTCATACCCATCTACTCACTACAGACTCCTTTTCGGGCTGCTGTTTAATATACCCTATTATTTTATATTAGTAGTGTTTAGCATACATCTTAGATCTTTTAGCATATTGTTTAGCGTATATCTTAGATCCTTATATACTGTTTCTTTTTATACTTTATATTTTTGCTATTTTTGGATGTAACTGGGATCCTGTGTACACAATTTAGTTCCACCTCATGTACCACATGTGATGTGAATGACAATAAAGAACCTTGAACCTTGATATAAATTTGATCAGTTAGCTATACGCTAATTGTGAAATTACAAAAAACGGTTGAGTAAAACACATATTTTTCCTTTCAAAGTTAAACAAGTTATCATCACTGCATCCCAAAAAGAGTCTGCCTCCAATTGTTGGTCTTTAACCCCCCACTGTAAAACCTCCTCCCTCTGGTCTTTCTTTTATCTCGAAACTTCCCGTAAAGTCGAACCCACCCTCATCAGGAGTCAGATTAAAAGCCTTTGGCATCCCAGCCTGCTGCTGCGGGTCAACGCTGCTCTGCAACAGCTTGCACTAAACCCATTAGCAAAGCAAATTTAACCATATTACCTTCTTCCAAAAGGAAGAGGAGACACACACATACACACTCACTCTAAAAGACACAAACTCAACACCCCCCTCAAAGGAGTGAGGGATTAAGACCCTGACTGATCTCTAAATGAGTTTGGTCAAGATGCTGATATTCATTTCAGGAGCATTAGAGCTTGCTCCATTTACTGAGCAGGAGTCAGGAAAATAACTCCCTGCAAGTTTTCATCCTTCCTGTGAAACAGTTTTGTATTTTTATTGAAACCTTTGGACATATTTGACACAAATAAAGTAATATTTTCAGCTAAATATTTTATTTTGATAAACTAACCACATCTGTTTTTTTGTGACATTATCACTAGATATAAACCAACAACCAAAAAAGTGTTTAAAAGCTTGTAATGCCGATAAAAACATTCAGATTTTCTATTTCCAAGCCCTCAGTGTGAGGACCTGTGCAACAATTGTAGGCTGAGATTCACCTGTGAGCTAATTCATAATTGTTGCTGACAATTTATGTGACATTATGCCAGCTAATGTTTGAATTAAAGTTAATGAGTAGGGATTAAAATGACCAAACAGCCTGGTCTTGTTTAACCTGGATGCTCCGATCCGAGCTGAAAAAGAAAAGGTCACAGATGAGATTTGACACCATCAATCGAACGTTGGCCAAAATGTTGGCAAAGCGCTCTGCTGGTGTTTGAGTCTGGAGTTTAAGGAGTGTGTACAGCCAGGCGTGACTGTTTGCCATGCAAGTGTTAAAGGAAGAGTTTTTTTTTTTTCTTTATTGTAACTCATGGGAACCTTGGTCCATCTAAGACAGTTATTGTTCCGAGAACAAGAGTTAAAGAAGGAGGTTCATCTTAGAGTTAAAGTTAATTTTGCCTGAAGGGACAGTCTGATCATTTTTGAAGGGATGATCTGTCAGAAAATGAGTCAGAATGAGCACAGGCTGCAGAACAAAAAAACATGAAAATATAAATTTTTGCCACGATTGAAATAAATAAATAAATGGTAAAGACACCATCTAGCAAACCCAGTAACTAAAATAGACTATAGACTTTTATAATATGTCTTTAAAATTAAGTTTTCTAACAGGTATGTCTTCAGAAATAATTATTTGTTTGTTGAAATGGACCTTTTTTCTCTGTCAGCTGCTGCAGCACCAGGAAATCTTCTTGCATAATGTTTGGTGTTGTTGTGAAACTTTGGCATTTCTTTTTTTTTAATAGGCTGGAATTACCGATGACATCATTCCGATGTCCGAGCCCGGTCCTGGAGGGCCACTATTCTGCATGCTTTAGAAGTTCCCCTGCTCCATCACATGATTTCAGTTAATAGGATTGCAGACCTCTGCAGAACAAGACGAGGTCATTTAGTCATTGAATCAAGTGTGTTGGAGCAGGAAAACAAGTAAAACATGTAGGATAGTGGCGCTCCAAGCAGAACCAGGATTGGACACCCTGCTATAGACAAAAAATAAATAAATAAAGTTTTCAAATCAGTACTCTCCTAAACCAAATAGCTTGTTGCCAGCCAGGTGATAAATTGTATAATTTCAACAAACTATAAATAATTTGAAGCCTTTGAGATGGAAAACTGATAATAATAATTACTCAGTATTGTAAAATTCCTTATTGTAACTCGTTTTACCAGCATGGGTCACAATATCTTTTCTACGACAAAGTATTAGGGCTATGCTAAGAAAAAAAATTACATTACGAATGAGAATAAAGTCAAAATATTACGAGAATACAGTTTTAGTATTACGAGAATAAACTTGAGTATTACCAGAATAAAGTGATAGTATTATCAGAACTCTGACACAAAAAAACTGTTTTACAACTGCGGTAAATGATGAATGTTGACGTCGGCAGTACAGCAGAGGCCCACCACACTGTTGCATATGGATTCATATGATAAGCTGAAGCGGTAAGGCACTGTAATTAATGGCTGCATTCATGGATTTAGTCTTGACACAAATGGAGGCATATTTCACAAACAGTGACCCAAAAGTGATCGCGGACTATTACATAAACACAGTGACTCACTTTGGAGGCTGTCCACAGCAGGTGCGAGACGACCCAGGACATATTACAACTTATTCTTGTAATATTATGAGTTTATTCTCGTAATGTTATGAGTTTATTCTCGTAATGTTATGTTTATTTTCATGATATTATGACTTTATTCTCGTATGACTTTATTCCTGTAATAGAATTACTTTATTCTCATAATATTATGACTTTATTCTCGTATGACTTTATTCCTGTAATAGAATTACTTTATTCTCATAATATTATGACTTTATTCGCAAAATATTATGACTTCATTCTCATAATATTATGACTTTATTTGCATAATATTATGACTTTTT